AACAAGCCATAATTTTGTGAAATGATAATTTTGCCCCTTTTTGCAATGTTTTCCAAACGATTAGTATTTTATACTTCTATATACTCTATAATTCTGATTTAGTCTTATTTTAAATAATATTTATTCATTTAATAGTGAAAAATCGAGAACTCATTTGAAAAGATGTAATATCTTCAATTTTAGATCAAGATTTATTAGATTCAAATAGACCAAATAAATGTATTAGTGAGTTGTATGGCTATAGGGGCTTAATTTGGTGTAATTGTTGTGAATTTAGCCTTAGAAGTGGGTCTGAATTGATGGCACGCCACTTGGGCAAGGAAAGATGGAGAAAAAGCGAAGCATTGCTCTTTGTGCCACATGCTGTGGCAGGTGGCCAATCTGTTGTGGTGCACAAAGGTAATTTTTAAATCTAACAGGCTCCTCTATGCCATGTGTCGTAGTGGAGGGCAACGTGTACCGTAGCGCATAGCTAAAATTTTGATATATCAGCTTCGTATTTGCGTGAAATAAACAAAGAGGAAAAGAAAAATGAAGAGAATGAAGGAGTAGTGCTAGGGCTTGGGAGAACTGATTATCAGGAGTATTTTGAAGCTCCTAAATACCAAAGGTAAGCTTCCTTACTTAAATTTTCCTCTCTTTTTCCATTTTCTTAATGGTAGAGGTTAGGGTTTAATTATTAATGGTGATTTTCGGTCCATTGAAGCTATGGATCCAAACCCATTGATTTAAATAGAGTTAATGGGAGTAAATTGAGCTAAGTAAACTTAGTATTAATGGTTTTGTGATGATTGGTGGTTGGAGGACATTAAATGTCTGAAACTCTCATAAATTTTATGGTTGGGGACAATGTGATTTCTTGAATGACCATTTAAGAGCTCAATGTTATTTATGAGAGTTAAAGGAAGCTAAGAAGCCTTATGGGCACCTTTACATGAGTCAAGAATAAATCTTAAGCATTAAGAAATGATGAAGTGTTAGTGGAAAATAGCTCAAAAATGGATATTGATGTTTTGCATGGTAAATGCTTGTAGAGTAACCACTGTTGGTACCATTCAAGCTTCTTGGATGCTTTGGGAGTGAGTAATTGAAGGGTGAAACCTTTGACCTCTCAAAGGTTTAAGGTAATTGGGGGAATTCTATCTTATGCTTTTGTGTATTTATTAGTTTATGAATTTATGATTGATCATTGAAATGTGTAAATTAAGAAGAAATGCAAGTGTGGCTTTATTTGTTAGAAAATCCACTAGATTCATTTTGTGGGTTTTATGCCTTTTGATGTAAAATTTTTTTAGAACAATATTGATGGATTCTTGTTTTATGAAATGAGAGTTCAATGATTTTGTGATTGAGAAGTAACATGAATTTTGTTTATGAGGAGTTCAATGATATTCAAAATGGTGGAGTTCAATGATTTTGTAGGTGCGAGGTACAATGATTGTGAAATCGGAGTTCAATGATTAGTTAGTTTGAAGTTCCATGAAAATGCGTTTAAGAAGTTCAATGATTTGTGAAATAATGGAGTTCAATGAAAATTGATAATGTAAAGTTTTATGAATTGCATATGTGTGAATTATGACATGAATGTGCATTGCATGATCTTGAGAGGTGGGAGTTTGCTTAGGAAGAGGAGTAGATGATAAATTCTGCATGGTAAGACCCTATTCGTGTGATGGTTTTCCTGGATTAATTATATCCATATTGTCCCACTGGTTTAACAAGGGACTATCCCACTGGTTCAATGAGGGACTCGAACCTAGCTAGCTATCCATCGGTTCAATAAGGAGGCTAGTCTAGAGTGTATGACACCCCAAAGTGTGAGAAATGGGAAAAACCATGTTCCATAAGTGAGTTAGGTACGCCTTGACCGAGTAATCCCCTCACAAGTATTTAGGCTAAGGAAGTCAAGGAATATAGACTATGCTATTGAGTTATAGCCCATGGTTTTATGTCAGAAGAATAAGGAAGATATAAGAGAGGTGTGATCATGTATATAGTAAGTAAGGGCACCTATTGTCTATATTGTATCCCTAATGATGATATCATGAGTTGAGTCTTAATTTCTTCCAATGTATTTGTCAATGATTTGTGTGACTAACTCTCTTTACATGAAAAGTGCTAAAGAGCATTGTTTCTCAAGTAAATGCTATCATGTGAGTGGAATTGTGAATATCTATTTTCAAATATTTTACATGGGTTTTGTATTGATATTAACTACCACTTACATTTAAACTAATTGACATGCATTAGTATGGGTTAGTCGGACCTTGGTTACTAAGTAGTTGTACTCACCCTATTATCTTTAATATTACAGAAAATAGCTCAAGAGGTGTGGATAGAGGAAAACACCTAGAGGTTTAGCATCACGATCCTTTTGTAGTAAGCCTTCTTATTTTGAGTAAACTTATATGTATGACAATTTCAATTGTCAATTAGGAATTCTCATTTGTTCTTTATTTGCATTATATGGATTGTAAATCATAAGTGTATTTTGGGGCCTAGAGAGTGAGTTGATGAGTATATGTTATTGTGATAGGGCCAAAATACTAATGCAAGTAAGAGTAGACTCAATTATGTGATAATTTGGGATAACTTGATGAAAATTTTGGTAAACTTCCCCTTTCTATGTTTTTGAGTTTAAAGGGTTGGGTAGTGAAGATTTGATCTAGAAATATTTCATGTGATATGGTGCATTGAATGAGTTAGTCTTAATGACTTGTATGCGGTTAAATTGGTGTTGGTAGCTATTGGCCCTTGGTATTTGGTTTGGATACTTGAAATTGTGAAAATTGTTATAAAAGTGTAAGTTTTGAAAAGGGTGTCCATATTTTGTTTTAAAAAGAATTTGAATATGAGACTAATGCCACTAGTTAGGCCTCGGAAAGAGCTTTTCGTAGACACCTAGTTCGTGTCATTTGGATGTCAGACAGAGTTTTGGGACGTGTGGAAGTTGGCCCTAATGCTGTCAAATTAACAGCAGAATTCACTATCAAAATTTATGCAATTGCGTCGCAGCGCATAGTGCCACGAGCCATAGTGCATGTCACAAAGGCGAACATGCCGCAGTGTATGTTCAACGAGCCATAGCGTATGCCTCAAAATTTTTCAGAAATTCTCCTGTAATGATCACTTATGTAATGATCACATGCTTCCACATATTTGTGAACTCTGATTTGTTTAATTGCAAGATTTGAAAATGAATTTAGTTTTGTAAACTTGGGGTTTCCATTTTACTAACCATTGAAAATTTTGTATTTTGATAATTACTATAATTCCATTTCCTATTTAATTGAGATTTGGTTTTAATTATGAGATTAGAATAAGGAGGATATTACAAAAGAAGCATAAGTATTAGAGGATTTTACAAATGATAGATGCAAAAATCGATGATTTCATCAATAGATTTCAAACCCAAATTAACCGGTTAATTAAAATTCTCTGACAGGGGTTAAAATCATGCCTCTCTTAATGTTCAATACACATTTCATGAAACCAAAATGGGCTTAAAACACTAGTCTAGCGATCCCATCATCAAATAATTCAAGCTCAAAAATGAAATTTAACCCTTTCTTAAGATTATAATTACAATGAATGTCATTAGCAATTGACTTATGCCCTATTGGGTATGCTGGAAATAGAGACATGAAAATGGAAATGGAATTGCAATTCACATTTTTTTTTTTGTTTAGTATGCATGAAATGGATTTCCATGTTGAAATGAAATCCATCAAAATAGGTTGAATTGGATTCTATAATAAGACTCATGGAAATGAGATAGGTTCCATGGAAATGAATTTTTTTGAACAAAAATAACCTCAGTTATGAAATTGTTTGACAGATTTGCCCTTTCATCAATCATTGAAGTAAATCAAAAGTTTTTTAGTAAATATGCATATATTAAATAAAAAATATATCATAATTAAAAAAAATTGGCAGGGGTATTTTAGTAAATTAATTATATAGATGCACATATTAAATAAAAAAGTATATCATAATTTTAAAAAATAGATAGGGGTATTTTAGTAAATTGATTATATAAGTGCATATATTAAATAAAAATATATCATAATTAAAAAAAATTGACAAGGGTATTTTAGTAAATTGATTATATAGATGCACATATTAAATAAAAAAGTACATCATAATTAAAAAATTAGATAGGGGTATTTTAGTAAATTGATTATATAAATGCATATATTAATTAAAAAATATATCATAATTTTAAAAATAGCTAGGGGTATTTTAGTAAATTGATTCTATAAATGTATATATTAAATAAAAAGTAAATCATAATTAAAAAAATTGACAGGGGTATTTTAGTATATTGATTATATAAATACATATATTAAATAAAAAATATATCATAATTTTATGTACATACCAAACATACTTTTAAAACTCATTTTCACCTTCATTTCCATTTCGATATCCATTTTTATTTTCATTTTCATCAAAAATATTTTCAAGATATCAAACGAAGCATTAGTTCCAGTCTTTCTCCAACCTTATGAGTTGCTTTGCTATTTATTTATTTATTTATTTTTCTTAAAACTCAACCCAAGTAGTCAACTTGTTGGGTGAACAAGTTTGCACCGTATCAACACCTAGTTGGATAGGTTGATTTGAGTCACTATCTTTTTAATTTTTTAAAACTTTTGAACAAATCAATTCACTAGTTAAATTAGTCATTTTGAATTTTTGTACTATGCTTTATTGCCCCAATTACTTTTAACTCTTGTTAGCAAACCGGTTGTTCTTCCACATTGGTTTACATTGGCTTAAAAAAAAAAAAACAAACAAACAAACAAAAAGTCGATTAATTAGATTCATCCCAACATTTAACTCTGAACATTTATAGTTAACAGCAGGGGTTAAAAATCGTGCTTTTTTAATGTTGAGGACACAATTCATGAAACCAAAATGAGCTGAGGACCCTAGGTCTGGCGAGATCTCATCAAATAACTGAAGATCAAATATGACATTTAACCCTTCATAAGATTATAATTACAGTGAATGTCAACGGCAATTGACTCGGTTCCATTCTTTCTCGATACTAACCTCCAGGATAGAGGCATCGATGAACCGAATGGTTGACGAGACAAGGACGGTTCATTTTAGCGCCATTCTTCATCTGCAACTCCGTGAGATCGTACGCATCGTCAAGCTTTCTGATCTTCCATGAAACTTGAAGGGTCCTCATTTCCATGGGGGCCAGATCGCTGAAGAGAAGGCCCATTAAGCAGCATAACCTTGAACCTCAGGCTTCCATGGCTTCTTCGCGGCGTAAGTTGGGTTCTCATAAAAAGTTCTCTGTGCTTCTTTCGGTTTCTCTAGCCCTTGCTGTCATTGGTCTCTTCATCATTTGGTCGAACAGTAGGTGCAACATTGAACCCGGAGTATCGTATGAGATTATTCGTGTGGTCAACGAATTTCCTCACGATTCTGACGCCTTTACTCAGATAATGTTTATCTTCGGCATCTTACTTTTATTGGTAATGCGCTTAAGGTTTTAGCGATCAATTGAACTCAGTGTCGAGTTTTTTTTTTTTTTCGGATGAATTTACAGTTGTGTTTTCTGCGGTCAATTTCCAATTTATGTATTTTCTTTCCGGGTATTGGCTGTTTCATGGTTCTTTTCCCCGCGAAGATCTTCACAAACCCTAAAGTTTGAGGTTCATGAATGTCTATACCCGCAAGTGTTTTCCTCAGGCTCAAGCATGCCTTACCGCTTGAATCACTTAGTTGTGCTTGCTGGTATTTGATTACTAGTGAATTTTTTAAACACTTTAAATTGATTTTTTTTTTTCTAGATGATTTGAAGCTCATGGATGCCAATATCTGCTTCTTTGGGATGTTAAAATGACTGGGTGTTTTATTCAATCCTTCTCTCCTATCAATTTTCTGCATGCACCTTGATATTCTATGCATTTCATTATGGTAGAGGCTTAAGAGTTTTTATTCGTCCTTTGGGTTAAGAAGTATCTTGCACTCATTATAATTGGAAGCATGAAAATTAATAAATGGTATTGATCTGGTTGTTGCTCATGGGAGAGGCATATTTTATTCTCTTATTATTTCTTTCAGGGCCTTCTTTATGCTGAAAATGATACCTTGTTCGAGTCAACTGGTCTTTATGGGAAGGTAACGTTGCGTTGTATTCTATTTGTCACTTTTCTTGCCCCCCCCTTCTTTACCCCCTTCTCCTTTCTCTCCGGCTTCTTTCGTTTTTGCCACCCTTTTATATTGCCATCATACCCTGTACCTTTGGAAGGATTTATGTGTTCTTGATCTTAGCAGGAAATTGTGCGTTTTCGTTTTTTCACATTCATTCATTCAGAAATGCTTGTAGGATTTAGTTGGTATGGTTAATGTTTCTTTAGGTGAAACTGCAAGTTTCTTTTCGTCACCTTCCAATTTTATGGAGCTATGGTACAGTTATATTCCAGTGGGGTTGCTGTCACTAAGAGTTGGGTTCGGAGACAAGCTCAATGAATCCACTGAAAAATTATTTCATGAGACAATGTTTCTCTAGCATGGGTTATTGGTTACATGAGCTTCAAGTATTAGCAACTGTTTGAATCTATTCGTGCCTTCCTACATGTTTTTGTGTAAATGCTTTATGAGCAAGTAGTAATTCAATTTTTGATTGTGAGCATCCAGTGCAATGCTTTCTCAATTGTGGTAATATCTAAGAGAAGGCCAGACTGCTTTCAACTTCTGTATTTTGTGTGGTTTATTTTGTGAATCATGAATGAGTACAGCATTTGATCCTTTAATTTTATTCTTATTTTTGCGTTCACTATCAATATTCCTAAAAGGTTGGCTGATACTAGAACACAATAGTGTTGTGCTATCTATGTAGCTGACCCCACCTAATGGAATAAGGCTTATTGTTGTTGTTATCTTTGCATTGATTGGATACATTATTTTTCTGTATGAAAGTTATCACTAAACTTTAATCTTTTTCTCATTTCAGTCATCTGTCAGGAAAGTTTCTCTTCATACTGGACAGGTACAGAAACCTGGAATTTGAAGTTTACTGTGTTCTTTTATATATACTCAGTTCTAGTTAAGTATACACACTTTTGTTGTATATACATTAGGCATGCTAGTCATGCTTGACTGAATATTTGGTCATATGGCATTTGATGCTCTCAATACACAGCAAGCATTAAAAAGTTTGTTTGACTTGACTGACTTGATCCTAGTCAGCTATTAGCTTGGGAATTCTGTTATAAGATAACAATATATCAAATTTTATTTATTTATTTTTTCTTGGGTTAAATTTCATATCTTTGTTTATGTTGTTATTTGCTACATGCAGATTGAAATTCTTCAAAAGATGGATGATTCTTTGTTCGGGGAAGGCTTAACTCTTATTGGTGAAAGGTAAGCCAAAGTGTTGCAATCTGTCTTTCTTACTGATTTAGTAACTTGGTCACTCGAATGGAGCTTCTGTTTTTCAGAAAGGGAAACGTGATCAAATATTGGGATGGTAGGATTTAAGGTAGTTATCTCTTTTAGATATGCAAAAGGTATGGGTGGCCCTGCTGCATGATTAACGATAATTTTTGTTTCACTTAAATTATTTTGCTTGATATGTGACCTTCTCTTATCTCCTCTTTTATCAAAAATACTAGATTATAGGAAAAAACAATGGAAAAATGTGACTTTTCCTTTTTTAAAAATATGTTGAATAACTCGTGTTTTTCTTCTTGATTTCATTTTCCCCCTTGAAGGAGGGAACTTCTTGGCCATTGATCTTGTATTCTTTCCTCCTTTAATTCTCCCACATTATTTCTTGCAATGATAGTTCTTAAAAAAATATGCTATAAAATTTCTTTCGTACATTTAGAAACTGCTACATTTTTGGCGCCACAAGATGAATGATCTAGATATGATCATATGAATGGCACACATTAGACTTGATGCTAAACTCATACGCAGGCATATATACGCATGTCCATTAGAAAATGAGCCTACGTGATCAAAAGATCATTCAATCATACCATTCTTCTATTCTTATCAAATTGGTAATTGCTAAGTTTAATTCTCATCATCCTTTAGTTGCTATTGGATCTAAATTGATTGGCATTCCTCTTTGAAACATAACCTCTACCAATATTTATTGTTTGAAATGAAACTTTTCCAGTGATTCATTTTACAGGCTGTTTTACAATCCATTTCTTCTGAATGTTTAAGATAATATTGTTACCTTAATTCATGCATATCTTAATTCTTTTAATTTTAGCCTTACACATGGTAAGTGTTAAATTGGATAAAATAATCTTTTGTAGGCTGTTCCAAGTGACCTGGTTGCAGAAAACTGGTTTCATATATGACCGGAATAATTTAAGCAAAGTTTGTGCTTTACCTTGCTCCTCTTGTAATTTTCTTTCTTTCCCATAGTTATTTGGATATTTTCTTTCTCTTCAATAGTTATTTTAAAATTTGTTCTTAATTTTTATTGTGTGAAAACAATTTTCTAACAATATTTGCTCCTTTCTTTTTATTGCCAATATCAGTTGACAATTTTCTAACAATATTCAAACCCAAACCAGGGTGCTGGAATATTTATCAGATGGTTATAGATGTAATATCAGTTGACAATATCTGTGCAATAATCTGAGGCAGAAAGATCATGACTTTAATTGTACCTCTGTACCTTTTTTATTAATTAAAAATATGTATTATTTTTCTTTACAATTTGGTAGGAGAATATAATCTTGGCAGTGTACATTAGATTCAGTTAACACGGTTTCTACTAATGGTGAAGGCTTATTTAGTTGCAATAGGTGGTCAGTTGACGAGAGTTTGATTTAGATGCAATCTTTATCAAACTTCTTGAAAATTATCATTATGAATTTTATTGCCCTTGGGTTATGGACTTCTACCAAATTTAAATTACCAATCTCTTATTCTTTGTTCTTATAATTTTTCTTGAGATGTTGTTTAATGAAGGTTATGTTTCAAATTGCCAGTTTATATTGGTAGAAAAATTTCAAACAACGTTTTTTTCCCCTGTAGTTACAGCAATCCACTCATGAGATGAAAGATGGTTGGGGTCTGGCAACTGATGGAAAAGTCTTGTATGGAAGTGACGGCAGTTCAACATTGTATCATATTGATCCTCATACATTTAAAGGTCCTCTCTCTCTTACACACACAGAATGCCCTTTCTTATTGCACTTCTTGGGAATAAAAGCAATGCTTGTATATTCTAGTTTCAGTGCCATCCATAATGGTTTGAGACTGTGCGCGCGCACTTGCCTATAAATCTATATACGGCTTTTAAAGTTGACGGCTTGATGCTACTTCAATAGTTTATTATTGCTTTATATTTTCACTGAATTTTCTTGGCTATTACTTTTGCAGTTATATCTAAACAAGTTGTCCACTTTAAAGGACATCAAGTACACAATCTCAACGAATTGGAGTTTATAAATGGTGAAATTTGGGCCAATGTATATATGGTATGCCCTTGTAAATTGAGTCATGGTTTAATTATAGAAAATAATCTATTTTCTGCTCGTCTTCAAAGTGCCAATAAATGTCATCCCTTTATGATATCTATGGTCCAATATTGTTCTGTGCTGTGCTGAAAACATTGATATATTTTAATTCGTAGACTGATTGCATAGCAAAGATCTCTCCAAAGGATGGTGGTGTTCTTGGATGGATTCTCCTCCCAAATTTGAGGTCTTGCTTCTTATTTCTTCTCGTTGTATAAATTGATTTTTTTAAGCATATGCACATTACTTATCTTAATGACTCACAAGTGTGAGGGTTATCTAATTCTCATAGCTGCATTTTAATTATTCTATGCAGGCAAGAACTGATTGCAGCTGGTGGGATTAATGTAAGAAACCTGAGCCCTTTTATCAACTTGAAATAGGATATTGTTCTATACTAGTATATTTATGTTGCATTCTGATTGCCTGAGTCAAAAGTTAGATTAAAAGGGAAAAAAAATGATTTAAAGGGTTAAACTATTGTTACATTTTTTATTTGGCTATCTCATCATTACACAAATGCTTTGGTATATTGTAGGGTATTGATGTTTTGAATGGCATAGCATGGGATAGTGAACAAAAGAGAGTTTTTGGTAAGCTCCAACTTGTTATTGTTTTATTTGTAATTCTAATAAAGATACATTGGAACTCATGCATAGTTCTATTTAGAAGCTGGCACAAACATTCTTATTAGGATATTTAACAAGTGGCATGAGAGTATGTGATAGTTTCGTCCATCCTAAAATTGCTATTTTTCTATATTTAGTTATTATATGTGATGTATGTAATTCAAAATGCCAGTGAAAGGGTAATACGTGTCCTTGCGGGAAAGATTGCATATTGTTACTACTTTATTTATGGCTTGAAAATGTCAAAATATCATGCATAAGAACAATAATTCAGAAAATTTATTAAGGAGAACATAAAAATATTTTATCCAATAGTTTGGTGGTTGCTTTTTTTTTTTCTTTTTTCAAGTTTTTGCTCATAGAAAGTAACTTTTTTTAAAGAGTGAATCACACAACCTCTTGAGTTTTGTTAAGAATACTCATGTACTTTCAAAATATATACAACAACAACAACAACAACAACAAGCCTTTATCCCACTAGGTGGGGTCGGCTACATGGATTGCAAGACGCCATTGTACTCTATCATTTATTAAGCTTTTAGAAATATTATTAATTAAGAGATCACGTTCAACAACTTCCAAGAGTGTTCTCTTAGGCCTTCCTCTACCTCTCTTAATCGGACTCAAAGTTATATGTTCCACTCTTCTCACTGGTGCCTCCCTTGGTCTTCTTTGTACATGCCCAAACCATCTCAACCGATTTTCTACCATTTTTTCCTCAATAGGTGCCACCCTTACTTTTTCACATATGTGCTCATTTCGAATTTTATCTTTACGTGTATGTCTGCACATCCATCGTAACATTCTCATCTCTGCTATTTCAACTTTATGCTCTTGCTGTCCCGTTAGAGCCCAGCATTCACTACTATATAACATTGCCGGTCTGATAGCAGTACGATAAAACTTTCCTTTAAGTTTATTAGGCACCTTACGATCACAAATAACTCCTTTAGCTTTTCTCCAATTAAACCACCCAGCTTGAATTCTATGTGAAATATCTCCACTGATTTCGCCATCATTTTGAATAATGGCTCCCAAATATCTAAACTTTTCCACTTGAGGTATAATTTGATCTCCCAATTTTACTTCCAAATTATTTTCGAATAGTCCTTTACCAAATTTACAATATAAATATTCCGTCTTACTTCTACTCAGACGAAAACCTTTCGACTCCAATGTCCTCCTCCATAACTCAAGTTTGCAATTAACCTCTTCTCTTGTCTCTGCTATAAGAACTATATCATCCGCAAAGAGCATACATTTCGGGATTTCCTCTTGAATATGTTCCGTCAAAACATTTAAAATCAAGTTAAACAAATAAGGACTCAGAGATGATCCCTGATGTAGTCCAATCTTTATAGGAAAATCCTTTGTTTGACCACTAGGCGTTCTTATATTAGTTTTTACCCCCTCATACATATCTTGTATGGCTTTAATATAAGCAATCCGTACTCCCTTTTTTTCCAACGCTTTCCAAAGCACTTCTCTTGGTATACGGTCATAAGCTTTTTCCAAATCAATAAAAATCATGTGTAGATCTTTATCTTTACAACGATACTTTTCCATTAATCCCCTTAGTAGATAAATCGCCTTTTCAAAATATATACTTTGATCTAATTCAGATGATTTTGGCTGAAATATCTCCATTAACTTAAATATTGAAATATTGCATCCAAAATGCACAAATGAAGAAAAAAAAAGAAAATGAGGGTATCTTTGTGTAATGATCATCATTATATATACTGTTCTATTACTAACATGTCATTATAATATACTCTCTTTAGATGTTTTCTAACCTCTTCCAGTTTTGGGGTGCTATTTAATTTTTTCATTTTTGTATGCAACCTTAATTGCAGTTATCGGAAAACTATGGCCAAAGCTTTATGAAATCAGGCTTTTTCCTATAAAGAAATCATTTAAGGAGGGGGTTATTGAGCAGCTTTGCTTGCGCAAGCCTTTCAGGTTTACAACTTAGCTGTTTGTACACACTTCGAAGCAACTTCTTTGGAAGACTGGGCAGCCAAACTCAGCTTTGGAAATGGTATTTAAAAAGGGAAGTCAATAAGTCTGTCAATTGGCTTACTAAAGCAGCCCATGGTCTTGATGTTCATTTGTTGTACTTAATTAACCCTCCCATTGGATGCAGGAGTTTAATGGAGCTAGATATCCATGGCAGCTAGAGTGCTCTGTTTTATTTTGTTGTTGTTTGTTTGTTTATTATTATTATTATTATTTTTTTGGGTGCTTTTTGTTTCCTTTCATTCGAGGGGGAAAGTAAATGAAATGGTATTGTAACACAGCAACCTCAACATATTTAATAGTGGAAAATGCATGCAGCCTCACAAGTGCCTTCTTGTACTGAGAACTATTGTTCCATTTAGAGTGAAACACGCTATTGTTCAAACAATGCATTTTAGTCTAATTAAAAATTTTATTTTGGACAAAAATATCCTCCGCAAATTAATGTTAGTGGTTAATGAAGGATATTTTAGTCAAAATATGTAAGACAAGTTTAAAAATTATGGTGCAAGATTTGTCTAGATTTAATTGAGAGAATGCTCGTATAAATTCAACAAAATTTGACAAGCCTTTGTAACTTACTGTTTCATTTATTCGGTGCGATATAATTTGGAATTGGGTCACAGGTCACTGTAAGAAATATAATAAAGCGTCCATTTTTATGGTTCTGTGGGACACTGTCATTAGGATTTCGATTCTCTCATGTAAACTTGATGGCCAATCAGAATTCTCAGTGGCGGTGGAAGTTTTATGGATCACTTGTTGGGTTTGCATTTTTAAGAAATAATTGTTTTTTAGACCTTTTTTAAATTTTTTTGTGACAAAATGATATTTGATGCCATTGAGTATTCTAAGTTCGACTATTATCATGTCCCAAATGGAGGTTAGCTCTTCCAGTGTAGGTTTTTCTACTTATAAAGTTTGAAACTGATTTTGTATGATGGGCATTGTATTTGTTCTACTTGACTCAACTATTGTCAATTAATCTGTCATTTAATAAAGCATTTTCCAGTTTTACATGCCTCGTTTGGTAGGATGAAAGAGTTTTTGATGTAATCAGAATTGAAATTGGAATCGGAATTGAAATCAGAATAGAATGAAGTTATAAATATATGTTTGGTATGAAAATGAAATTTAAATATAATATTAATAAATATATGTATTTAAAATAGATAAAGATCAAAATTCTTTTATAAAAAAAAATCAAAAACTCACCCATCATGATGGAGTGTGTATGTGGGGTCACTTATGACAATTCTATGAAATTGTGTCAATTCCATCATGATGAAGATGAAATTGAATTTTAGATATTTTGGTAGAATTGAAATTCATAAAGAATTTAGATTCATCAATACCAAACCATTGAAATTATGATTTCAATTTTATTTCTCTTGAATCCAATTCTAATGTACCAAACACGATCTCAGAGTCTGGTCAATGTAGCAGAATGGCATGACTTTCAAGCTTGAACCTAGGAAGGAGCCCAAATAATTACAAATGAGATCAGTTTATTACTGGTGTTTTAAAAAGTTTGTACTGCATGTCTTTAAAAAGTGCGATGAGACCCTTTCGATCTTGTCACTGTGGGCTCCGATCTGTTTTCCTTATCCAAAAATCGATTATAACTGTATTGAAATATAAATTTGTAAACATAATTAAAATGCAAACAAAATATATATCTTGGAAATGAAAGAAAAAATAACTTATTCAGGAAATTTTTTTTTTAAAGGATGAAAAGAAATATTCATCAAACATTCTGGAAATACGCCCAACTTTCTTAAGTTTGCCTATCAAATCGCGTCATCATCTGCATTCAGTCTTATTCCTCAAACAATCATCATAGTCATTCATTTTTTGAAATGATCTTTGTTGTTAATTTTAAATTAATTTTTAGACTTTTTTTAATAATGTATTTACAAAAATAATAATTTTAAAAATAATTATTCATAATTTTTTAAGTTGAATGCTTTTTTCAAAACTAGATACTTGAACATTTTTCTTAAAACTAGATAACAAATAATAAATTTCTCATGTTATATAATACATAAATATAAATCATCCCAACCCTCGCTAGTCAATCCAAATTTAATATTAAAATTAAAATTAATTTTTTTATAACTTTTATAGATGTGTAGTATGGAAAATGTAACATTAAAAATGCTTAAAAATAAATTTATAACGGATGGATGGATGGCAGGTCATTTCATATTTCAAAATGAAATAAAAGGCTAGCATGAAGAAGTGTCGTTACATTTCTTTCTTTGTACAATTTTCTTCTTTTTGGTCTAAGGAATTTGAACAGCCTCCCTTTCCCCCAAAAAAAAAAAAAAAAAAAACCCCTCTTCCGACTCTTCTTGGCACTCGTCTTTTTGTTTGCTCTCCCTTGAACCCTTCTGCTTCTTTCTATCTCACTCGCTTTCGCATTGCCTTGTCTTTCACCAATGGCTTCCTTCAGGCCCGAATCAGCCGCTGTCCCGACATTTGACAGCATTTCGTCGATTATTGTAAGTCCTTTTTCTGTTCGTATGCCATTTTTCCTTTTAATGTTACTTTTAAACCCCATTATTCATACTCACAGTTCTAGGCAACAACTTTACTCCCCGCATGTATTAGCTTTGAGTGAGTTTTTCTCTTATTTTGATGCTTTATCCTTCCTTTTCCTAGTGAGTTTCAGAAATGAACTTCCTTTTCTTGTAGCACACCCCCTTATAGCTTTGTACCATCATATGCTTCCGATTTGGCTTGCATCTTCTTTTGTTCCCACCGGAAGTGTCTGAACAAAAATTTTCCGTCGCCGAAGCCAACGGTGTCTTCGCTGAAGAAGAACTCATTGAAAAGGAGCATGTCCTTTTTCTGCTGGTGTTCCTTAGCCAATGGGTTTTCATCGTGGGCGGTGGCAAGCCTCCACTAACATTCTCCCGCTTGCCAAGCCCTCGGCGGCCTCGCTAACAGCAAGTGTTGAACCTAGGTTTTGGATAATAACAAATTAGAGAAGATTTGGTTTAATAAGTATTTAAATGATTAATAAGAGGGAAGAGAAGGTATGAATGTGCTACATTGCTTAAATCTCTGATTTCATTGTTTTTTAAGTATCACTACTGATATTGTGTTGATACTACCCGTCTTGATATAAGTCCTGTTTCTAAGCCTTTGATTCATTTTTACCTCTATAGGTAGTGTTTTTAACAATACCCATGCTCTATCAAGGTTTAATTCTTTTCGTGTCTTGTTACTTTGGATTGTAAGGTCATGCTATCAATATTAAGTTTAACTAGTCATTGCATGGGAAGCATTAACTTCATTAACACAAGATTTGCAGTAACTACAATTTAAAATCACAGAACCAAAAAAAATAAAAAAAAAAAAGAAAGAAAGAAAAAAGAAACAGTTGCACAGAAAAAAAGCATCATTTCCAAAATTTACAGTCTAACCTTCCATGTAGTGATGACCCAAAAACAATAGCAATACCTGAAAAAGAAAGGATTGACCAATCATAAATTAATGCACTAAAGTTTGAAAGATTACTTTTTATTTTATTTTATTTTTTTGGATTTTGTGTAATGCATGTAATCAACATTGGCAGGGTGATACAAAGTAAACCTATGTTTGAAGTACAGCTATGTAAAGAATTTACATACTTACAAGCTTTTTTTTTTTTTTTTTAATATGATGATGAAATCAATCATTCTAAAAAATGGAACAGCTCTCTCTGTAAACAACATTAGTTGTCTTTTATACCTATTTATTGTTATGATTCAAAAATATTTTCAGGCTATTTATACTCCTCACTCTTGATAGAGCTGCATATAGCTGGCTATGTGTAAACACAGGTTTTGTCAAGAACAAACCAATATGGTGTAAAGATTGACTTTGACTTTTATTTATTATCATAGCAAGTGAGAAAATAATTGAAAATTGTGTTCTTTGCATACGAAAAGGCCACCTTGTCTTAGAAGGGGTTATGTCCATCTTATAAATAAGAACCTTGTGACCCTTGTGGGAGCCATTCATTATTATGGCTTCAACGACTGTTTTACCAAGTATGGTTACTTTCAATCTTGTTCCATTACAAAGATCATATGCTTGGTCAATGTTCCTTAACAACATGATTGGGGCACCTACCTTCAACATGAGTCTATGAGGTGGTACTTCATAAATATTAGTAGTGTTTAGAAACTCAATGGTGTAAAGATCATCAAAAGAATCCTTGTTTGTAGAAGAGTTGCTAATATAATCACAACTCAAATATTCAATCGACTCATTGGGCAAAATGGAACACATGTAATCATTAAATTAGTTGACACTATCAATTGTTGGTGCAAGTTTATCCTATCATTAAAATAATAAACATAAGAAAAATGATCTATAAGATCAAGATATGTTGAAAAAACGATGGTAGTAATTGGATCTTGATAACTATGCATAAGTAAGTCCCTTGATATTTCAATCTCTACTATAACATCAAGAGGAAGGTCTAGCTTCCTATCACCAACATCCAATAATTATTTAAAAAACTATGCTAATCTATCACTATCATGATTTGATGAGGAAGTGCTCAATTGCATCTTCTTTGACAGATTAAAATTATGCAATAGTCCTAAAGATATGATAAACTAATGCATGCAATTACATTAATAGCCCTTGTATACCTTTAGGGATAACTGGAAGGATTTGCCAAAAGTTACTACCAAATACAATGGGTTCTTGCAAACTCATTAGAATCATTAAATTGCACCAAATTGTTAAACCCTTGCTCTGTCTAACAATTTCATAACATTATTAGTGTTAGAATATACAATGTATTGGTGATTAGGCAAGTGAAAACAAAGCCTTTCAACAGAAGGATATTTATGGTGTACGTCAAATACAAACAAATGCCATGATGCTTCACAAGTTGAAATATATCAAAAAATTATAATATTGCTTGATCTCATCAAGTGCATGCTTGGAATTTCCATCCTGACTACTATCATAAATAGAAGCAATCACTCTATCATTACCCTTACTTATATACTTGAATAAGTATTTAATAGATATGGAATGATTGCATTTTTCAACAATGATATGAGCTTCAAACATTGCCAAAAGAGTAGGATTGTAAGGCACAATATAACGATTATCTAATTTGCCTTTGATATTTGTAACTTCTTTATATATCCACTCAATATAGGAGAATATTACGGTGTTATCACATCACTCAAAACAATTAGCAAACAAATGTTTGGTTTGAAAAAGTTTGGGTCCAAGACTCATTTTTAAAAATCCATCCAAAATCACAATATATCAAGGAAAAACATAGCGGAAGCAATATGCATATTAGTCTAACACGTAGTGGACATAACCCCCTTTCTATTGCAGGCATTTTCATCACAAAATAAAGCTGAGATTTGTCTATGCGCCATGGCAAGCAGTACGTGCGCCATGGCATGTGGCACAGAGCTACACGCTCAACTTTTCTATGCTGTGCGCCGACACCATGCGCCGCGGTGCACCTGTCCGATTTTCTGCTGTCATTTTGACAACAAAAATGACGAACTTCTGGCATGTGTTGTTTTCACATATGACATCCTATTAGAGTAATTCAAGTGTCCACACGAAGCTTAACCCGTATTTTGACTAATGAGATAAGTTTGGATACGATTTAATGGTCTGATCAAAATTTGGATACCTAGGTGCAAAAAGTTTTTTTTTTTTGAAAAATTTACATATCCAAATGCTCAAATCAATTCTTTTTACTTATTAGACCTTACTAAGCCTTGAACTAAGTTCAAAAGGATTCAATATACCTAATTGAAAACAATATATCTCAATCATACTTATATATCAAAATTTGTCCCTTCCACGGCCAATTTTCAAAATTCACTAACTTTACACACTTTGAAATTTCTTGGCATAACTTAGCTCACTTGACTATTTCTCAACACTTTCATACATATTCATGTTCACAATATAATCTTAGCCCTCAAATTACTCATTTCATCATAATTTGTCCTTTGGCTTAAGATTCACTGACACACATTCATTTCAACACAATATTCACAAATCATAGTCCTTTTGTCTCAGTCAACACATATACACATAATTGGGTTAGATTTTACAAAATTCCTATTCAAATTATGCATGCAACCCTATGGCAACTCATTTACACACACATATATATACAATTTCAGTTCAGTTCATTACACAAACTCAGAGTACATAGCTTCACAACTCAAGCCGGTTTAGACTCTTTTTCCTTGCCTTGATCACTTTCTGGTCCTGTAAACATGTAACCACAGGGGTGAGATAAAAATCACAGTAATGGGATAACTTACTCCTATTGACTATCACATGCAATAATATGGAAGTAAATATAGTATATCATTAAAACTTCATAAAATAGCATTTATATTACATATCTCATTTCATTCTCAACTTTTCATCGATCACATAGGATTCCATGTCATCTCAAAGCATATCTCATCATATCACATAGCATGCTAGCATGATCACTACTAATCAAACCTCCAAATCACCCTGACACAAAACTATAGGCTCACTTTAGGCCAATGTACACTCTTATTGGCCTTGAACTTACCTGTAGTGGTAGAATCGCTCGGCCAAAGATGTTCCAACACACAATACAGACGATAGTTTCCCCCAATACACATAATGGGGCATCGTTGACTCCAACACCGTATCATAAAGATACTAAGGAGTCTCTCATCTCTAACACCGCACCTCAATAAGCACTAAGGAGATCTTCTCCAACACGTTACCTTTCAAGGCACTAAGGAGAATTGTTTCTAACATCGCACCCTATTAAGTATTAAGGAAACCTTGCCATATGGTCTTTATCATCTTTTACACTCGAGTGAACTCCTACCCCTTGATCATGCTTTTCTGAGCCATTTAATGTTCTCATTTACCATTTCACATACTTTCTTATACATAACATACATATAATTCTCTACATGACAAAACACACATTTCGATGCTTTATTTCAACTAAAAGCCATTTTACACAACAATCACTCAATGCGATAAAAAATGCTCAGTTTAAAACCATTTTGTACACTATATAGTATATTAATATATAGTTAAAACAAATAGTCAAACAAAGAAAATTATTCGGTTACCTCAATCCTTTTGTCACTAGAAAGGTTACTCGTTAATTTCAACTATCAAACAAGCTTATCTCAACCTTTCTTTCTCTACTCACGCATCCAATATGTCAATCTGAGTACATTTGGCACATTTTAGTCATTTGGTCCATTTTGACCAAAAACTCATTTTTACTACTCAGGCCTATATTCATCCATTTTTACCAAAAACTCATTTTTACTACTCAGGCCTATATTTATCCATTTTAGGTCTGTAACTATTCAATTATTACTTTACATCGCCTCAATCGGTCTTATTTTACTCAAATTAGATTTTTGTCCTAACTTTTTCTCTCTAAGGGCTAAAATTGAGCTTAGAGGTTTACAACTCTACCGTTTAGCTTTAAACCAGTTGCAAAGCAATAATTTAACTTCCAAGAGCCTTTTTATTACTATTAAGCAAGAATCAAGCCCCTCAAATTCCATCGATTCTATTTCCCTATTACTTATTTTTAGAGAAATTTGTGTAGAATGGAAGGTAAGGGTTATACATAGCTTACCTAACAAGTTATCGATTCGAATCACCTTCTAATGACCTGAAATGACTTGACTTAGCTTCTCAACCCTTCACCTCTCCTCTCGTGTGTTTCTCAGATTTTTACTTTTGAAAATCATCCAATTTCACAACTTAAGAAGTGATTTTCTAGTCCATGTGTCGTGATGCATGTAACACAAGTTGTAGCATGTGGCACAATGAGATTTATTCTCACCACGCGTACTTGCTTTGACTTGAAATGCACTCCTCTCACCCGTATCTGCTCCTACAATACACCAACAAGTCAAAACATCAAGGAATCATTCGAATCTTTAATTCCACACTAATTACCATCCTCCCTCGATTAACTGCTAAACTCGGCATTAAGAAATTTAGGATGTTACAATATTAACTATCCTACCATCATCTCTTATCTTATATGTAGGATAACCATCCTCATTAATAGTTGTATGGTCATTGATTTCTTAAGAAAGTACTTACTACATATCTGTTCCATCATGTAGGGTGATTTAGGATTTGATGAACCTGTCCATGAATTTCTTGACCAACTCATACATCAAAGGAAATGATTCAAAGTCTAGGATTTCAGCTGAGATAATATTGTCTATATCATCTAGCGCTTCCTGCTTATCATGTTTATCAAGGAATAATAAAATATGTGCATGTTGGAATCCTCATTTTTGAAACTAAATAGTATATACTTCTATAAATATATTAGATAAACAAAAAGTTGCAACATGGCTATGAAAAGTTTATATATGTAAGATTAAAATAATTAAAATTTACACTTGATGATTTTTAATCTATTTTCTCCTTATCTTTTCTTTTAGCTTATGGTTGTATGTGATAATCAATGGTAGAGAGTTATTTTGTTACTGAAATTATTATCTCACTTCATGGTTATATTTTTATAGGACAAAGCAGTGAGACGGGCAAGGAAAAAGAGTTAGGACTAGCCTAGAGTTGTTAAAGTCATGAGATTTTTGAGTTTATGTATTGAACCTAAACAATGTAAACATTATGTATATAAGTTGCCACAGAGTGTGCATGCATGTTTTGAATGATTATAAGTTGTAAAATGTTGTGATTGTGGTGAATTTATGAATTTTAGCCCATACGTGAAAATATGTGATGGAATGAATTGTATGGACTAAGATTTAGTAGTGAACATGTGGTGAATGTGGATATATGTGATTTTGTAATGAAAATGTGGTGATTATGGCCTAAAGGGTAATTGTACTATGTGGTGTAAATTTTGTATTTATGGAAATGGGCTATTGAGTGGCCAAATTTTGATACGTGTGTGTATATGTAATATATTCTGGTCAATTAGGTGTAATAGGTTTTTTTAAACTTAGTCCAAAGCCTAAAATAGTCTAATGAGATTAAGGGATTGATTTGAGTGTTTGGGTATGTTAATTTCTTTAAAAAAGTGATTTTTTACACTCGGGTGTTCAAATTTTGATCGAACTATTTGATTGTGTCCAAACTATCTCATTAGTTAGTTTATGAGCTAAGTTTTGTGTAGGCGTTTGAGTCACTTTGATTAGACATCGTATGTGGGAATGACGCAAGCAGAAAATTCACCTTGTGAATTAGTTTTTGACAGCAGCATTTTCTGTCATATGCGCCACAGCACATTGCGAATCAAATCGCAGCATAAGGCACAGAAAAGGTCAGGGCATGTGGCTCTGCACTACATGTCATGACACATGTGCTGCACATCGCAACGCATGGCCCATAATCTGACCTTATTTCCTTGTTTTAAAGATATGCAATAATTGATATGAATATATATGATTTGTTTTCGCTGTGAATGGCTGTGATATGTTAATATTTTGATGATTTTACCAAAACAAGTCTTAGGTCCAAGCTTTTTAAATAAAATATTTGTTTATAATCTGGCTTGAAGTATGGTGATTAGGTTAATTCTCTGCTTATATTAAGAGGATATAGGGGAGGGTTATAGTGTTCAATATAATCTCTATAACCATCATCTCCTCTATGAAATAAGATTGGTTATTAGGGAGGAAGGTATGATGCATGTAACTCGTTGATTCATTGTATAGATCCTGATAGTTTAACTATAATATTCGTCGATTTAATATTCAAGTCAAAATCACAAACAACAATGCGGCTACTTTAGAAGTAGTTGGTAGTTTGTGAGTACACCCATTACTCTATGTTGTATTGATCAAACAAATCTTCGCATTATTATGTTTGCAACCCTTAATCATTGATGAAGCTAGTTGATACTATTTTATCAATGTATTGCATTCATCAATCATCTTCTTGATTTGACGAACAATTTCAAGATCAACAATGTTATCTTTAAAATGCTTGTTGGAATGAGTGTTAAAATTATAAAAAAAAACATGTAGAAAATATTATTAAAAATGATTATAATAATATAATGTTTGTAAGCATATATACATTTTTCAATCGAAAAGAATTATCAAATATTAGTTCTGTACATACCAGATAGCTGATATGCAATTTGCAACTTCGTTGCCAGTATCATATATATATATACATATATAGCTAAGAGTATATTTGCTTTGGCCTTTTAGGAGGCAACAAATTGCCAATCCTATGGTAGTTCATGCTAAATAATATGAATGAGCAGGGACCTTTACCATAATTTTTGAAATGATCAATCTTCGTTTCTATTAGCGTAAAAGAAAACTTGTTGCATGATCTAATGTTTAAGTATAAATTCTTTGACTATTGCATTCTCTCTGTTTTTCTTTTATTTAAAAAATCTTGTTCAAAGGTTGAGGAGGTGACTTGACTGATGGCAATTGAACCTTGCCTGTAACACAAGGAAAAGGAATGGTTAATTCTAAACTTTTGATCTTCTCCCTTCTCGTTATAGCATAGTAAAACACCACAAGAGCTACATATATAGATAGCATCACCCTCATCCAAGTATTATGCAATATAAAGAAACTTAAACACTATAATATGAATAATAACAACAAAAGCAATACATCAAGACAAAATGATAGCATCTCACCATCTGAATTGTAAGCAAAGAATTCTTCATGATTAGTTCAGTTTCTTTTATTGGGAAAGTTATAATATCATTTGCAAAAGATCATTTTCCTTCAACTAATACAATAAAATAAAACATAATAGTAAGAATCAATTATTATATACTTTCAATTTCTTACCTTCTATAATGATAGAATCATTTTTAAAATCAAAGCTCTAAATGCTGGAGTTGTCATGAAAGGAAAATTCAATATCTTTGTATAGCATTTTTGCACATGTCATGAAGAATTGAAAAAAAGAAAAACTAAGGTAATAGCACTGAAGAAATATTGGACAATAACACAAATTTTTTCATGACCTTAATTCATACCTTGGGGTTTTTCATTTCCTAACAGCCTTAACTTCATTCTAGTATCCTGAGTGCTAGTTTGAAATTATTCTACCATTTTTTAAAACAATGAAAGAATTAAAAAAAAACACTAATGTCATTAGGATAGTACCAAGAAATAAATTGACAGAATTATGAAAGAATAACATACTCATACCACCATAATCATTTCAATAATTCTAATAAAAAATCTGGATTGATGAAGATTCTATAGCATAATCTTGGTAAGTGTAATTGATATTATACTTATAACTAGAACTACTTTGAGCAATTCCTAACGAAAAAGAATTACTATGAGATGGTATGTTCATTACATTTTTTTAAAGGAAAATCAACTAATTACAAATTATAACTTATATGAAAGTAATGCCAAGTTCACAAGACTAAATTATAATAATCGAAACTATATTCAATACATGGTGATGCTACTGCAAAAAGATTGATTTGAGTTAAATTGGTAGAATTTTGAACACTACAAGTGTGTGGACTCTTGAACTTCAAAGTTGCATTATTTAGGGAAGAATCTATATATATATATATATATATAATAAAATATCTTAATAAATTATACAAACCCACATATTTTTAATATAGGCTAATACCATTGAAATAACACTACTACAACCAATAAAAGTAAATGGAATAGTTAACTTACCTTTAGGGCAAATAGGTGACTAAAATTTGACTAATGGAATGTTTTCATTCATAGGAGTTACACTGTCGTCCATTACTTGTGCAGTTATTAATAGAGGCACAATGAAGTTGTTTGATGGATGATAATTGGGAGTAGAATACATGCTGATAGGTTATGTTTATTACATACTTTTCTTAGGCATTTAGGACCACATTTCATGATAAGAAACCCTAGAATGTGCATTTTTTATGTTAAATTAGGGTTTTGGGCCCTATAGAGTATTTATCCATATTAGGAATATTTTGGTCATTTTGCGCTTTGTTAGGAATTTAAGGAAAAATTTAGAATTTGATGTGTGCATTGGTTTTAGGTCCATTTAAGTCAAAACATTTGGTTTTAAAAGTTACATTTGGACCTAGGGTTAAAAAGTCAACATTTTGGGTTGACTTTTCAATTTGACAAGTTTAATCTAATTTGCATGCATACATAGCCACCTTATCTATCTCATGTGTGTTTGTTAGGTTTTGAATGGATTTTGAAGATACATGCAAAAAAGATATCAGGGTTTGAATATTTTCATATTTTATCACATGTGCAAATACCTTAATTAAATTTCACGTTGTTGTCTTAGGTGAAAATTTGCATGGAAGAGGTTTGTGGTTCGAGACTTGGTCAAGAACATGAGGAGCTAAGAGGGATGAAATTCAGACCTAAAATGGACCATTTGGGGCATGAATTACTATGCATAAGAGGAGTGTATGGGGTTTACCATGCATTTGAACACAAGGGATCATATTGACTTGTCAAAGTTTAAGATAGTCGCAATGCGGCTAACAGACTTTGAAGACAAAATTCAAATTTAATTTTGAGCTATATTGTAACATTCTGATTTTTTAATCTTACGATTAGCTATTAATCAGGGGTAGATTATTAATTAGTAAATGATTAGAAGTTTGGATGGTTATTTAATGATTTGACTCCTTGGCATGTTGAATGAGCAGATACGGGTGGAAGAATCGTGTTTTGAAACGAAGCGTGTGAGCGTGGTGGGGATTTCCTTACTGTGATATGTGCTGCGGCATAAGGCTGCTTGTGCCATGACATATGGTATAGAAAATGACTTGATTTTTGTGTGTGGAGCTTGTGAGTTCAGAAGGAAAAGGAAGAGAAACATGAAAGAGAGAGGAGAGGAAGGCTTTGGCTACTAGGGCAAGAGATTTCAAAGCATTTAAAGGTACTTCCAACCGATAACTTATCAAGTAAGCTTCGTATAGCCCTTACATCCAATTCTACTATAATTTGTCTTAGTATCAGTTATAGAGAAATTGAATCAAGGAAATTTTAGAAGGTTAATTTCTTACCCTATAGCAATAAAAAGTTCTCGGGAGATAAATTAGAGCTTTGTGACTGGTTTGGAGCTGAATGATAAAGCTTTGCAGCTTTAGGCTCAAGTTTGGCCCTAATTCAAAGAGAAATGGAGTGGAAATTGGGTAGAAAAGAAATGGATCATTATAAATGATAGAAAGCAGCGATTAAGGGGTAATTTACTTAGTTTGGTTAAGTGAAAAAGAATGAATGGCTAAGTATAGCCTTGTGTAGCAATTAAGTATTTTTGGGTTAATTGAGCTAATTGACTAATTGTGTCAAATGTGTGTAGATTGGCATATCGCAGGTGTAAGTTGAGAAAGGAAGTTGTAGTGAGCTGTAGTAATAATTGAAAGTCTACGAGTAACCTTTCTTGTGACAGAAAGGTTGAGATAACCGAATAACTTTCTCTGTTTGACTATTTGTTGTAACTATGTGAAAGTATGCTATCTAGTGCATGAAATTATTTTAAACTGAGTATGTTTTGCAGCATTGCATGAATGTTACATGAAAACAAAGTTTTACCTAATTAACAAGTGAAAAGCTATGATTTCATACTCTATATATGTATGATGCATATATATATATTTGCATAGATGTGAATGTGAATCTTGTGATTGGTATGGAAAGTATGATTATAGGGGTGGGAGTTCACTACGTGTAGATGTAGAGAAAAGACCATATGGCTTTATTTTCTTTAGTGTCCGATGGGGTGCAGTGTTGGAGAATTATATCTTCTTAGTACCTTTCAAGGTGTGGTGTTGGAGATTATCTCTTTAATGCCTATTGAGGTGTAGTGTTGGAGAGTTAGACTCTTTAGTGTCGATGTGATCTAGTGTTAGAGTCAACAACACCCCATTGTGTGTATTGGAGGAAACTATAGTTCGAAAGTGAGATAGAACACCTTTGGCCGGGTGATTCTACCACTAAAGGTGAGCTCAAGGCTAATGATAGTGTATATTAGTCTAAGGCAAGCCTATAGTTTCATGTTGGGGTGATTGAAAGGTTTGGTCTGTAGTGATCATGCTATATGTGAAAAAGTGGTGACAAGTGGTAAATATAATGGTAAAAGTGGTGAAATGATATATGATGATGAGATTTAAAGTGAAACATCTGTTATGTGCATATGATATATTTAACTATATATTATGCTATACTTTCTTATAATCGTATGTGATAGTTAATATTAGAGAGTTATTTTGTCACTGAGATTATTATCTCACCCTCGTGGTAACATTTTTATAGGACCAAGTAGTGAACAAGGCAAAGAGAAAGAGTTAGGAACAGCATAGTGGTGCTGGTTGTGACATCTTTGAGTTTTATAATGAACTAATTTAATGTGATAGTGTGTATATAAGTTGTCATAAGGATTGCATCTTGTTAAAGTTGTGATTTGTGAAAAATTTGTGGAAATTTGTGAATCTTAGCCCATATGTAAAATGTGTAGTGAAGTGATTAATAGGGGCTATAATTTAGTTGTGAATATGTTGTGAATGTTTAAGTTGTGATTTATGCTGAATTCATAGTAAGAATGGCCAAGTGGGCCATTTTATGCTAAGCGGTGAATAGTTATTGAAATGTGGAAATGGCCTATTGAACAGTCAAATTTTGATATATGTGTATAATTATGATATTATTCGGTCAATCAGGTGTATTAGGTCCTTTTGGACTTAGTTTAAGGCTTAGAATGGTCTAATGAGATAATGTGTGTGATTTATATGCTTGGGTGTGCTAAATTTTTATGAAAAGTGAATTTTTAGACCAGGCTGCTCAAATTTTGATCAGACCATTAAATTATGTCCAAATCTATCCCATTAGCTAGCTTATGAGTCAAGCTTCGTATAGGTACTTGAATCACTCCGATCGGATGTTGTATGTGGAAACGGTGCATGCCGAAAGTTTGTTTTGTGAACTGTCACATGACAGTTCGTATCACACTGCAGTGCATGACACAGAGAAGGCCAGCTTATGGGTTTATGCCACACGTCATGGCACATGTGGTGCATGTCACGGCTTATAGACCAAATTTTGACTTATTTTCCTTCTTTAAAAGGTATGCAATAATTGTTATGAATACGTGTAATTTATTTCCACTGCATATGGCTTGATATATTAAGATTTTGATGATTTTGCAAAACATGTCTTGGGCCTAAGTTTTTCAAAGTAATTGAAATTAGTTTGATTTTGTAATGTGGTGATTAAGTTAATCTTCTCTTATAACTGGTGGATATAAGGGAGGGTTACATATATGGGGCATGAATTCCTAGGTGAATTCTTATATCTGGTTTCAAAGGCATGCAATGATTGTTATGAATGTGTATAATTTATTTCCACTGCGTATGGCTTGATATATTAAGATTTTGATAATTTTGTAAAACAAGTTGATAGGGACGCGGAAGCAGAATCGTGCTAGTTTAGGGACAGAACCTTGAAACAACAAAAACACAAGAACAAAAAGAAAGGGACGAAATTTATGACGGAAATAAAGAAAGGTATGAAGTAAACAATAGGATAATGATCAAGGAGAAGATCCTCTAGAGCACCTGCCTCTAGGAACCTCAACCTTCAAAGACACCACAAGAGTTGATCACGCTCTTGATCACGTCGGTTTTTCACACGGGATACCAACACAAAGCACTAAGGCTCACAAGAGTTATAAACTCTAAAATGAATAATTTCATTCAACTTCTGTGTTGTTTACAATAAGGAGCATGCTTAATTTATATAGGCTCATAGAAAAATATTTTCTAAAATTAAAACCCTAATTTCCTAATACTAAAAGGAGAAATAATGATAAAATATTCAGCCACATAATTTAGGAGATGTGATCCTAAAATTATGGGATTACAAAATTTAGAAATTATAATTAATTCTAACCTTTGACTAGACTCAAAATAGAAAATCAAATCAAAGGACCATTAAAATAGGAAATAATTTAGGAGACAATCAAGGGATCATAAAGGATTTGAAATCACGCCACCCTTGACTTCTTTACTAGGGTTTCATACCTCCTTGCATGCAAGAGGCTCAACTTGTAGTCTTCCTTGCATTGGGCTAAGGTCTGCATCTCTTGGGCTTGACTCTTCATGAGTTTGGATCTTAAATACATTATACACGTATAGATGCTCTCCTTTGGACTTGAGGGGAGTGCCCCAATGCTCTCCAAGCTCTTGAACTTCTTGCACAAGACTGAACAAGGCTTGCTTCATGGCTTTGGTTCGGGCTCTTGTCATTGGACCTCCAATATGTTGCAATGGGTCTTTAGATACGTTGGATTGGAAGTATTGGGCTCCTTCTATATCACCCTGCTCATGATTACCATCCTCAGGCTTCGTTGCCATTAATGCTATGTCACCCGTGCCATGGGGTCCATCATTCCCTCCTAGTTGGAAAGGATTCGTCCTCGAATCTGCAGAATCATATAAAGATAAATCAGAAACATTAAATGTGGCACTAACATTGCCATAAGAGCTAGGCAAATCAATCTTGTAAGCATTATCATTAATTCTTTCCAAAACTTGAAAAGGTCCATCTCCTCGAGCTTAAAGTTTGCACTTCCTTTGATTAGGAAATCTCTCTTTCCTTAAATGTAACCAAACCCAATCTCCAGGCTCAAAGATCACACGTCTCCTGCCTTTATTAGCTTGCTTGGCATATTGCTCATTCTTTCACTCTATATTTGCTTTAACCTTAGCATGTAAGTCCTGCACAAACTTAGCTTTTTCCTTGCCATCAGTGTTAGCATGCTCAGAGAAAGGCAAAGGTAAAATATCAATAGGAGATAATGGATTGAAACCATAAACAATTTCAAATGGAGAATAAGAAGTAGAAGAATGAACAGCCCTGTTGTAAGCAAATTCAATATGAGGTAAACAATTCACCCAATTCTTCAAATTCTTCTGAATTATTGCTCTTAATAATGTAGTCATAGTTCTGTTAACTACCTCAGTTTGACCATCAGTTTGTGGATGGGCAGTAGTGGAAAAAAGTAACTTAGTTCCTAATTTATGCCATAGGGTATGCCAGAAATGACTAAGAAACTTCACATCTCTGTCACTCACAATAGTCTTAGGTAAACCATGCAAACGAACAATCTCTTTAAAGAATAAGTCAGCAATGTTAACAGCATCATTAGTCTTAGCACAAGCAATAAAGTGTGCCATCTTAGAGAACCTATCAACAACAACAAATATGGAATCTTTGCCTGCAGAAGATTTAGGCAATCCAATTACAAAATCCATAGAGATATGTTCCCAAGGGTGAGAGGGGACGGGTAAAGGAGAGTAAAGTCCATGAGGTTGGATCTTAGATTTTGCCTGTCTACATTTAATGCATTTATCACAAACAGATATGACATCTTTCCGCATGTGAGACAAAATAGCCAAAGTTTTATCTACACCAAAGTGTCCCATCAAACCACCACTATGTGCTTCCTTAGTAAGCAACTCACGCATAGAACAAATAGGAATGCATAATTTATTTTTCTTAAAAAGAAATCCATCAAATTTAAAGAAATCACTAGATCCATGATTTTCACAAGATTTTCAAATATTTTCAAAATCAGGATCAGTTTTATAAAGATCTTTTAGAATCTCAAAACCAAGTAATTGAGCTGCAAATAGGAAAGTAATGTATACCTTCGAGATAAGGCATCAGCAATGATATTTTCTTTACCTTGCTTATGCTTAATCACATAAGGAAAGGTTTCAATAAATTCTATCCAGCGAGCATGTCTCTTGTTTAACTTACCTTGAGACTTGAGAAACTTTAAACTTTCATGATCAGAATGAATGATGAATTCCTTGGGCCACAAATAATGTTGCCATGTTTCTAAGGCCCTCTTTAGAGCATAAAGCTCTTTGTCATAGGTGGAATAATTCAAAGCTGCGCCGTGAAGCTTTTCACTGAAGTAAGCTATGGGCTTAGAATCCTGCATTAAAACAGCACCTATACCAATACCAGAAGCATCACATTGAATTTCAAATGCTTTAGAGAAATTAGGCAAAACAAGTAAAGGGGCATTAGTCAATTTATCCTTTAGGGTTTGGAAGGCCTTTCTTGTGTTTTATCCCATTTAAAGGTTGCATTCTTCTTAACAAGTTCATTAAGAGGGGCAGCAATGCTAGAGAAATCCCTAACAAATCTCCTATAGAAGCTTGCTAAGCCATGGAAGCTTCTTACTTCACTTGCATTCTTAGGGGTTGGCCATTCACGAATAGCCTTAACTTTCTCCTCATCTACACGAATTCCCTGTGATCCAACAACAAATCCCAAAAAGATAACAGAGTCCATGCAAAAGAAACACTTTTGAAAATTAGCATATAATTTATATTCCCTCAAGATGTCAAACACATTTTTAAGATGATTCATATGATTAGTCAAAGATTTACTATAAATCAAAATATCATCAAAGTAAACCACAACAAACTTGCCTATAAACTTTCTAAAAACATGATTCATTAATGCCATAAAAGTGCTAGGAGCATTAGTCAAACCAAAAGGCATAACTAACCATTCGTATAATCCAAATTTAGTTTTAAAGGCAGTTTTCCATTCATCACCCTCTTTCATACGAATTTGATGATAACCACTTCTAAGATCAATTTTAGAAAAGATAGAAGCACCATGTAATTCATCAAGCATATCATCAAGTCTAAGGATAGGGTAACGATACTTTACAGTGATTTTGTTGATTGCTCTACAATCAACACACATCCTCCAAGATCCGTCTTTTTTTGGCACCAAGATAACAGGGACAGCACAAGGGCTAAGGCTCTCACGCACAAAGCCTTTCATCATCAATTCCTCTACTTGGCGCTGGATCTCCTTAGTCTCTTCAGGGTTAGCCCTATAAGCAGGCTTGTTTGGAATAGCAGCTCCAGGCAAGAAATCTATCCTATGCTCAATTCCTCTTAAGGGAGGAAGTCCATCAGGAATTTCATCAGGGAATAGATCTCTATAATCCTGCAACAAAGAGACAGCACTAGAAGGCAAAGTGGGGTCAAAAGTATTAGTAGAAAAATAAATATTCTTGGGAATTACAATAAGAGCTTGCTCACTCATCAAAGCCTCTTGAATCTTACTTTTCCCACACAATAATTTTTTTTTTCACTATTTTCCTTCACTCCCACCATTCTATTTTTTTCTTTTCTCACCTTCTCACCACTCTTTTTCCTCTCTTTGGATTGATTTTCAAGTAAAGTAATACTCTCTTTCTTTTCTCTCTCACTCATGCCACAATCAAGGAGATCTCTCCTTTGCTTGTAATCTTGAGTAATCTTTAGTTGATCTTCATAGGCTTGGATGGGCCTAAGAGGATTTAATACAACAGTCTTGCCTTTAAAAGGCACCTTGTAACAATTTCTAAAACCATCATGAGTAGCCTTACTATCAAACTGCCAAGGCCTACCTAATAACAAGTGTCCAGCAAGCATAGGGGCTACATCACATAATACATCACAAGTATAAACTCCAACAGAGAAAGTAATCAACACTTGCTTAGAAACCCTAATTTCAGCAGAATCATTCAACCATTGCAATTTATAGGGCTTAGGGTATGGGATTAAAGGTAAAGATAATTTATCTACAAGTAAAGTGCTAGCGACGTTAGTGCAACTACCACCATCAATTACCATGCTACACACTTTCTCTTTGATGAAGCATCTAGTGTGAAAAATATGCTCGCGTTGCTCATGTTCATCATCCTCCTTTGGTTGAATATTGAGAGCTCTTCTTGCCACCAAGATAGAGTCAACTACACCATTGCATTCAAGCTCATCATTTGATTCATGGGAGGTAGAATCATCATCAACATTATCAGTATCATCTTTATCACTTTCATGCACACTATCATAGCCACCATCATCTCTCAAGATCATAACCCTTTTATTGCTACAATCTCTCGCCATGTGGCCCACACCATGACATTTGAAACACTTAATAGGAGAAGTGTTAGATGAATAAGAAGAAGGTTTAGGGTTAGAAGTTTTACCCTCATACTTGGTCTTTATTTCTTCCTTGGCTTGGGATGTATCTTTGGCTTTGGAATCCTTC